GTTAAACCTTCAATAAAAGAGCAATAAACAACATTTAAATTCGTCATACACTCTTACGAAAAATCAAACAACAAATAATTCTTATGTGAGAATTAACAAAGTACCCCTGAGGCGTGCTAGCATAAGCGGAGTTTGGGTTTACCGGTCTGGGGCTGTTCTCCTCCCACGATGGTGATTCTATCTATCACAAAGCCTACCCGCACGCATATCTCCATTACGAACGTGCTCTGCGAAACTAGGCCATTACGATCGTAGATCCGTAGTTGGGTCTCGGCTAAGGACAGAAGCCGACAGCGTTACAACACCGGCGATCGCCCCCTGATTCTATACAAACCCGCGGACTTGTGCAGGTGACGCGATCAATCTCGCCAGCTCGACTGGAAACCGAACTTCCCTTCTGCCACGTTTTCTGTGTTATTTAACCTCAATTCAATTTTTTAAATATTCAATCTCTTATAACTCTGATATTAACAACAACTGAACAATGTTAAAGTTTCAAAGAGCAATAAACAACATTTAAATTCGCTATACAATCTTGTGTGAGATAAAAATTGAACATCAAACAATTTATGATAGAAACATTCATCAACAAAGTAAGTATTTACAAAACAAAACTTAGCAAGGATTTATGAAACAAAAGATCTGGTATGAAATAAACTTGTACAAATAGAAATATTATGTGAGGTTAGAACTGTAGAGCATGAAATTTACGTTCAATTAAAATTATACAACGAAGAAAATTACCTTTTCAATGATTCAAACAAAGAGTTTACATTATGTCAAATTATATCATGATCTTTACATGAGATTAATATTTGCCACACTTTTTCAATGATTCAAACAAAGACTTTACATTATGTCAAATTATATCATGATCTAAGTGATTGGTTACTTCAAAAAAACAATTTACTTTGAGAGTTTAAAATACCGCGGACTGGTTACCCCAACAAAACACATAATAAACAAACACAAAAATATCCAATCATCGCGCCGAGGGAAAAAGCGTCTCGGTGATGTAAATTTTAAATCGTTGCGAGAAAAAGCGTCTCGGTGATGTAAATTTTAAAACGTTGCGAGAAATTGTCTCGATGATGTATATTTTAGCGGTAGGAGAAATAAGCCTCGTCGATGTTATCAGTCTCTAGCGTTGCGAGGATAAGCCTCGATGAAGTAATCAATCTGTAGCGTTGTGAAGACATGCCTCGATGATGTAATTAATCTGTAGCGTTGTGAGGGCATGCCTCGATGATGTAATCAATCTGTAGCGTTGTGAGGGCATGCCTCAATGATGTAATAAATCTATGGCGTCGTGAAGACAAGCCCCGATAAACTAATCAATCTATGGCGTTGCGAGGACAAGCCCCGATGAAGTAATCAATCTATGGCGTTGCGAGGACAAGCCCGATGAAGTAATCAATCTATGGCGTTGCGAGGACAAGCCTCGATGAAGTAATCATGATAACGACGATAATAACGATGATAACCGCCTAAGGGAAGAAATTATTTTTACCCCCCCCCCCCCCCCCGCCAGTTCCCAGTATAATGAACTTGTTTAACTGCCGTAAATGAACTATTAGCAATATTGCGTGAAGAATTAAGAAGTGTTATAATTAGAGAGCGTAGAAATCCGCTTTGTTTAATGCTTTTTTTGAAAAATGTAAGCACTTCAAAACTTTTTTATATCTGTAACTATGATACAATTTGGAGTCATTTGAGACATTTTTTTTATGCTTATTTGCTTTTTTTTCAATTTTATGCATATTAAAACTTATATGCTTGTTTAATGCTTTTTTCGCCGAATATGAGTTTTAATGCATATTTTGTTCAAATGCCGGCCTTGTCGGGATGACAAATACTTGTTAGTTAGCCGTATCCTATCGTATGCATTTTACCTGGACTTGACCATTGAAGTACACTTACTCAAGACCCTTTCTGTGAATAGGTTCCGGTCGTTTGGGTAATAAAATTTTATTATAGAATTAGAAAAATACTCCATAGATTTTATGACTTTAAATCCTTACTTCCGTTGATAATGAATTAAAACTTTTAACCAGATGTTCTTTTTCGGCATTTTGCGGCAAGACCTTTTCTAATGGAAACTTTTAAGTAAATCAACCGTTTATTTCACAACTTATCAGTCTATCGCATCTGTCGTAGTACAGTGTTATACGTGGTTCTCCCTTGTTACAAGTTGAGTTCTTTTTGGTAATATTACTAATATTTTAAAAGAATGCCGAAAGTAAAATCGACGCCGGATGAGTAGATTAGAAAACAACAAAATATTCTGCAGAGCTTGTGTGAAAACCGTAAGCCCACTAATTTTTTTTATCTATTTTCCTTTGTTAATCCTGTATATGTACCTACGTTGTTTTAGATTCAAAGTGATAAAAAATATAACGTGACGCAACATGTCAGAACGACTCTTCATGTAGAAAGGAAGAAAATGTTTGAAGTTTCTAAAATTAAACAGCAGACCATACATGAATCTGTTGCATCTACTTCCACAAAAGATGAGCAGTTTCAGTTTAATTTCGATTTATCTAAAATGATGAGTCGAATATACCTTTAAAAAAATTGAAGAAAGGCCCTCTTCAGGAACTCCTTGAAAAACACTGCAATCGACATATTCCAATTGAATGTACTCTCCGAAAAAATTATGTAGGCCCAGTGTTTCAGCAAGTTGACAACGAAATTAAACATCGCATTGGAGATAATTATTTATGGTTCGCTGTCCATGAAACAACCGATAGTTGTGGAAGATACGTGGCAAGTTTAATTGTTGGAATCTTAAATGAAAATTTCCCTAGTCGAGGGTATGTAGTAAGTTTGAAAATGTTAGATAAAACAAATGGCAATACAATTACCAGATTTGTAAATGACAGTCTTACGTCACTATTTTTGCCAAATGCCGTACCGGCGAATAAAATTTTATTGATGATCTCTGATGCAGCTCGTTATATGTTGAAAGCAGGGAATAATCTAAAAATATTGTACCCCAATTTAATTTACTCTACTTGCATTGCCCACGGTTTAAACAGAGTGGCTGAAGGAATACGTTTGCAGTGTCCTACTGTTAATAAATTAGTGGCAAATGGTAAAAAAATTTTTGTTAAAGTCCCACTAAGAGTGCAACATTTTAAGCAAAAATTTCCAAACATGCCATTGCCCCCAGAGCCGATTATAACGAGGTGGGGAATATGGTTACAGGCCACATTTTATTATGACAAATATATCAAAGAATTTGAGGAAGTAGTTACGGAGTTTAGCGAAGATTCTTCTCAATCGATTAAAGATTGCATAAATATTTTGGAAAACAAAGATTTGCGACAAGATCTAGCTTTTCTAAGAAGCAGTTATCAATTCGTATGTGAGGTAAAATAGAAAAGTTAGAAAAACCCAACATGTTGTTGGTAGATACCATAAACTTAGTGAAAGAATTTAAACAAGCAAACGCAGTAAGGGATGATATTGGTACTAGAGTATCTCAAAAACTTGACGAAGTGTTAAATAAAAATGCAGGTTTCGGTGTTCTTTCCGACGTTGCTCGTGTTTTACAAGGCCAGAAGGTGGAAAATTTGAAGTTAGATTCAACATTAGTTGCAAAATTCAAATTTGCGCCAACAACGAGTGTGGATGTTGAACGCACATTCTCCAATTTTAAACACATTTCAAATGATCGGCGAAAAAATTTTACAGTGGACAACTTGGAACATATTACAATCATAAATAGTTTTAAAGAAAACTGAAATACGTGTGTAAAATATAAAGTCTAGGATTATTGTAATAATATTTTATCTAAAGTTCTAAGTGTTCTTTGATTTGTAATATGATTGTTTTTAATGCTTTTTTGGTTAAAATAAAACTTTTTTAATGAAAGTGTTATGCTTATTTAATGCTTTTTTGCTTAAAATAAAAGTTTTTTATTAAAAATGTTGTGCTTATTCTTAATTTTTTTGTGCTTATAAATCCGCTCTCTAGTTATAATGTAACACTTACGTATATGCATCCAGAAACTTATTCGTAATTAAACAACAAAGGGTTTTCCTGACTAAGTGAATTTCATGAAATCTTCTAGCACGTGGTTTATTTAAATAATCCTGATTGTTAAATTGCACTATCTGACGATTAAGAAAAACTAACTTGATTGGTGAATTTACAAAGAATGGAACAAATTTACAACACGTGTTGAACAGAAGTCCGCAATTTTTCGATTAAAAAGGCCTCCCATTTTATTAACTATCAAAACCAACTAATTTAAACTAGCTCTTATCACGTGGTTACACTCACACAAGCACATTCCGACTGACGGTCCGCCATGCAGTGTTCTGTCTCTACCAACCCTCTAACTAAGATCCCCTAGCGCTAATAATTGTCCGACTATCCAGCAAGCGTTAACGTGCACCTGGTTGCCTATGTTTAACGATTTATGATTTGAATTCTTTTTTTCTTTTTCAAATTCAAATTATTCAAATGTGATTTCGCGCCGTTGTTAATTAATTTCAGCGCGAAAATTTTGAATTAAATTCGGTCACCACAATGTTACTGACAAATACATTAATTTGTCGTCGACTTTCTTTTGTTAAAAATTGTCAGTTGCTTCCTGGCAAGATATATCCGGTACAATTATAAACATAGTAACGCCCACACAAAGTACAATTTTGATTGGCTCTTTTTAACCAATTGACAGATGAATGGAATTATGTTCTCTGAATGGAATAGTCATTCTTATCTTTTAACATAGAATAAACTGAGTTTCTTGTGATAAGGTTGGGTCACAAACTAACCGATACTTGATGAACCACACGTCTTAATACTTTAAAGTCAATTTTTTCAACATTTGTGACCTTGGAGTATTTCCTTCTTTGAAACATCTTCTTTTTAAGTATGAATATTTGTACCTACCTGATCCGGCGCAAACTTACCTCAGTTTAAGTCAGTACGAATCTGAAAGTAAATTTAACCACATATTTGTGACTATAATTAAGATCAAAACGCATCAGTTTAATCACATAATTTATTCAGCAACTACAATTACAAGCTATAAATTAGAGGTACACGAAAAAGAAACAATAAATAGGAAGTTAAAACGAAATTAGATAGTGTAATGAATGAGCAAATTCATGCACTGAGCAAATACTCACTAAAATATTTACTGTATATGAAATAGACACATTGTTACTACGATCTGTATTTCTTTGATAGGATTTTCGATGGTCAAGGGCCAGTTGCGTAGACGTAATAAAAGCAAAAATCATAAATATATAAATAAAAGAAGTCTTGTGTATACAATCTCAACTAAAAACGGTAAAAAATCTCATGTCGACTTACCCACAATTCAGTTCTATAATTACAAGGCACGTTAATTATTTACAACCACTAAATAAAAATATACGCAGCTAGACTACATAAATTTAAACCCAACCACATATTTACTACATGCCTTAGTTGTGAACGTACAAATACACAACTGGCTCAGTTGAATTGATGGATACAAAATATTTCGTCTTTGTTCTAAATACAGATTTTCCTAGTATGAACAAGGCCTTTACTTTAGAGAAAAGCACTATTTAGGCGATAAAAGTGACAGCGAGTTAGCAATTGTATGCTCGTCTCTAAGTAAAAAACCTCAAGACATGTTTTACACGTTCGTACATTTTACTAATTATGATTAGATCTACATTTGAAAACACATATAAGAAGTTGTCTTATTAAAATATATGCTCCTAATAACAGCCTTGAAACACTGGTTCCACAGTTATTAACTAGTTAATATCTAAGTGTAAAGGCCAGTTGCGCTAGTGTGGCTCATAATTGTCGTTAAATTTATTACACTCACTTTACTAGAAAGATACGATACACGATATTGTACTAAACCACCACTGAAAACTGGCCTTTATGAAAAACGTGGTAGTCAGCTTAATGAAATGTACACTGGTATAACATGGAATACACATATGAATTGTCGAAGAACATCAAATATGTATTTGAAGACTAGTTACGAAAGTTTATAAACGATGATACAAAAATGCGTTCAACTAAACGTAAAGAGAACACAACAGACGCAAATGCGTATAAAAACAATCACAAATGGCATGATAAACTGCAGCCTTTATTAAAAAATGGAATATATAGATGATGTCTTTGGTATGGCATAGATCAAGACAAATCACTCAAAATTTGCACAGTAATAGTGACTAGATCAGTACGTAAAATTATGGCGAGGAAAAATCGCTGTCGCTAGCTTCTCGTCAGGATCAGCTAAATTCCGATACCTTCGTGACAGAACTAAACCTGCTATCTACAAGTTAAAATAAAACCAACATTTTTAGCAAAATAAAAGTGTCATGTGTAGCAGTCAGTATATTAGGATCCACCCACCCTAAAGTTCATGTTAAATGACTAGAGGAAAGCGCTAGGATTAGCTCGGGGGTCTTTCTGATTACGGTACCTCACAGTTAGTAGCACTCCCATAAACTGAAACATGCACCAAAACCGTTTAGATGCTTGTTAATTGCTAAAGAAGATCCATTAAATAACATGGGTGAATTATTGATGAGGGGCTAACAAAGGGTGAACTGGTCGATATTACATTCCGTGGGCTTAATCTAATTATATACAACACTAAATTCAATTAGTTCGATTAGTTCGAATATCCTGATTGTTCAGATGTAATGAAGGAGAATTCAATTATCACAAATAATTACAAATTAAATTGAACTGAAATTATCGCACTCGTAAACTTTTTCCGATAAAGCTTCCGGTTTTCCACCAGAAACGACGGAAGTGATTAATAAAACTGTTCTAATAGGAGTTTTGTCTGCATAGTGTACGAGTATGTTGTTTTATAAAATTTACTATGCAAAATTTTGGGATGACGTCATCAAGTTGTTGGTGGGGCTGATCAAATAAATTTTGGTTAGCGTTTTAGCATCTACACGATATTCTTAAATAAAAGACACACTGTTTCAACGCTAAAACGTCGATATTTCAAAACTTACGAAACTGGCTACAACAATCCGTCTCTAAAAAGCACCAACGAAAAAAAGAAGGAGAACGGTTCTTGCAGCCAGAAAAAGACACAAAGCAATGAATTAAATATTACCCAAGTTTTGAAATTATAAAAAGTTTGAAGTCGGTAAACCTATAAAAGCACCAACATATAAGATTTAAAAAGACACAAAACACAACAACATAACCTCACATTATTTGTCACTATGGAACTAGTACACTTTCAGCTAAAACTTTTTCGGTCAGGTACACTCCATGTCATTTCGCTAATTCCGACAATTGACGATTCAGAAATATTTGGACTTCACTATAATAATCTTCACCAAAAATTTTTTCTGTTTGTAACTTCTGTTATTTTCCCATTTTAGGAAGATGTTTAATAAATTATACGACGACTAATTTGCGCATGAAATAGATTTAGAGACATCATAAAATTAATCGCTGCAATAAAGATAACTTTTGTTTTTACATATTGTCCTAATTTTTGTTTAAAAAGTCCATTGCTTCAACTAAATTTACGGTACGATTAACAATAAAAAGACGTTTCCCGATATTTAATAATTCATTTTTTGTAGTGGAGTCCATCGGGCGACTTGCTACTTTCATGTGTCAATTTTTATTAGACAGATAATTTCCGAAACTACTGAAATCGATTGTTGTCAAATATCGTACAGATGGTAGCTAAAACACTAACCAAAAATTGTCTAACCCCCCAACAATTGAATGGCGTCATCTCCAAAATTTACAATAATGTTAATTAAATTTTAAAATAAGACACTCCAACACTTGTGGTTTATGAATCCGTGTTGAGTATAGAGCAAAAAAAAATGCAAAAAACGAATTCTTGCAATTTTTGGATTTTACAATTTCTCAATTTTTCAATTTCTCGGTTTTCAGTTTTTCTCTTCAATTTTACGATTTTTAACTATTTCGATTTTTCAATTTTTGACTTTTATAAACTCTTAATCGATAATTATTTTTTAATGAATTGATTTTTCAGGTTTTTTGGTTTTTCAATTTTTCTATTTTTTCAGGTTCCGATTTTGCAACTTCACTTTTTTAATTTTTCGATTTCTCAATTTTTCAATTTTTTTATTTCTCAGTTTTGGGATTTTTCAGTTTACTTATTCAATTTTTCGATCCTACGATTTTGCAGGTTTTTGATTTTTCAATTTTTCAATTTTTTAAAGTTTCGATATTTCGACTTCACTTTTTTGATTTTTCGATTTCTCAATTTTTCGATTCATGAGATTCTCAGTTTTTGGATACTTCAGTTTTTCGATTCGTCAGTTTTTCTTTCATTATTTCTGTTCTTCGACTTTTCCATTTTTGACTTCTGGATTTTTCGATGTGTCGACTTTTTACTTTTTCGATTTTTAAATTTTAGATTTCTCAGTTTTTTGGTATTTTAATTTTTCAATATTTAATATTTTATAAATTGAAAACAGTAAATCTAAAACCGGGAAGTCGAAAAATCGAAAGATTAAGAAATCGAAATATTTGAAAAATTCGAAAACTTGAAAAATTCGAAAACTTGAAAAATTGAATTATCGAAGAACTGAAATGAAAAATCGAGAAATCGAAAAATCTAAAATTTTAAATATTGAAAAATTAAAATATCAAAAAACTGAAAAATCTAAAATTTAAAAATCGATAAAGTAAAAAATCGACACATCGAAAAATCCAGGAGCCAAAAATCGAAAAGTCGAAGAATCGAAATATTGAAAAATCCCAAAACTGAAATATCGAAAAACTGAAAAATGAAAGAAAAACTAAAAATGGAAAACTAAATCGGGAAATCAAAACAGTGAAAAATCGAAAAATTTAAAACGAAAATTGAAAACAAAATCTATAACCGGGAAGTCGAAAGATTAAGAATCGAAAAATTGAAAAATCGAAAAAGTAAAAAAATCGACACATCGAAAACTCCAGAAGCCAAAAATCGAAAAGTCGAATTAAAATATTGATAAATCCAAAACTGAAATATCGAAAAACTGAAACATGGAAAACCTGAAAAATCCAAAAACAGGAATATCCAAAAACTGAGAATGTTTTGATTCCCGATTTAGTTTCCCATTTTTAGTTTTTCTTTCATTTTTCAATTTTTCGATATTTCAGTTTTGGGATTTTTCAATATTTCGATTCTTCGACTTTTCGATTTTTGACTCCTGGATTATTCGATGTGTCCATTTTTTTACTTTTTCGATTTTTAAATTTTAGATTTTTCAGTTTTTTGATATTTTAATTTTTCAATATTTAAAGTTTTAGATTTTTCGATTTTTGGATTTTTCATTTCAGTTCTTCGATATTTCAATTTTTCAAGTTTTCCAATTTTTCAAATGTTTCGATTTCTTAATCTTTTGATTTTTCGACTTCCCAGTTTTAGATTTTCTGTTTTCAATTTTCGTTTTAAATTTTTCGATTTTTCAATGTTTTGATTTCCCGATTTAGTTTCCCATTTTTAGTTTTTCTTTCATTTTTTGGTTTTTCAATATTTCAGTTTTGAGATTTTTCGATATTTCGATTCTTCGACTTTTCGATTTTTGACTCCTGGATTTTTCGATGTGTCGATTTTTTTACTTTTTCGATTTTTAAATTTTAGATTTTTTAGTTTTTTGATATTTTAATTTTTCAATATTTAAAATTTTAGATTTTTCGATTTCTCGATTTTTCATTTCAGTTCTTCGATATTTCAATTTTTCAAGTTTTCGAATTTTTCAAATATTTCGATTTCTTAATCTTTTGATTTTTCGACTTCCTAGTTTTAGATTTTCTGTTTTCAATTTTCGTTTTAAATTTTTCGAATTTTCAATGTTTTGATTTCCCGATTTAATTTCCATTTCCCACTTTTAGTTTTTCTTTCATTTTTCAGTTTTTCGATATTTCAGTTTTGGGATTTTTCAATATTTCGATTCTTCGACTTTTCGATGTTTGACTCCTGGATTTTTCGATGTGTCGATTTTTTTACTTTTTCGATTTTTAAATTTTAGATTTTTCAGTTTTTTGATATTTTAATTTTTCAATATTTAAAATTTTAGATTTTTCGATTTCTCGATTTTTCATTTCAGTTCTTCGATATTTCAATTCTTCAAGTTTTCGAATTTTTCGAATTTTTCGATTTCTTAATCTTTTGATTTTTCGACTTCCCGGTTTTAAATTTTGTTTTTCACTTGTCATTTTGTCAAATTTTCGATTTTTTAATTTTTCAAATTTGACTTTTATAAACTCTCAATTTTTCGATTTTTCAATTAATCAATGTTTTGATTTTCCCATTTCTTGACCTTCGAGTGTTTCGATTTTCCTGTTCTTCAATTCTTTAATTTTTTGATTTTTCAGATTTTTGATTTTTCAATTTTTCCATTTTTAAGGTTTCTATTTTTCGACTTCACTTTTTCGATTTTTCGGTTTTTGATATTTCAATTTTAGGATTTTTCAATATTTCAATTCTTCGGCTTTTCTATTTTTGACTTCTGGATTTTTCGATGTGTCTAACTTTTTACTTTTTCGGTTTTTCAATTTTTGGATTTTTAAATTTTAAGTTTTCAATCTTTTTCAATATTTCTTAATCTTTCGATGTTTCGAGTTCCTGGTTTTAGATGTTCTGTTTTTCAATTTTTCGATTCGTTAATTTTTCATTCCCGATTTATCGAGATTTGATTTTTCAGGTTTTCGATTTATCAGTTTTTCATTTTTTTTATTTTGGCCTATTTCGGTTTCTTAGTTTTTCCAGCTTTCCATTTTTTCGTTTTTTGATTTTTCCGCTTTTCCAATTTTTCAACTTTTAACTTTTTGTTTGTCGATTTCTCTATTTTTCGATTTCTCGTTCTTTCGATCTTTCAATCTCTCAATTTTTCAAAGTTTTAAGTGATTGTCAATTTCTCAATTTATAAATTGTTCAATTTTTAACTTTCGAGATTTGACTGTTCAGGTTTTCGATTTATCAGTTTTTCAATTTTTTATTTTGGCCTATTTCGGTTTCTCAATTGTTCCGCTTTTCGACTCCACGATTTCTTGATCTTTTGATTTTTCGATTTCTCGGTTTTTCGATTTTCCAGTCTTTCGGTGTTTCGATTTTTCAGTTATCCGAATTTTTAAATTTGGGGTTTCGATTTCTCGATTTTTCGTTATTCGGTTTTTAAATTTTAGATTTTTGATTTTTACATTTTTTTCAATTTTTTGATGTTTCATTTTTCGACTTTCAGTTCTTCGATATTTCGATTTTTCAATGTTTTTTATTCTCAGAAGTCTTATAATTATGTTAAAGTAATCGATAAACAGAATGTGCTACATTAAGGTTATTTTTGGCGAAAAACCCATTTGAGTGCTTCTTTTAAGAATTAAAAAATTTGATTTTGAGAAATTTGACCTGTTTTGTAATAACCCCTTTACAGTGAAAACTATAGATAATACTAGTTATAGTATAAAAGAAAAAAAGACAAAACCACGTTGGGGATCCTGTATTTTTTGGAAGTGTAGGAGGATATGACGTCACCAACTTGTTGGTGCGGATGATTAGCCAAATTTTAATTGGCGTTTTACCATCTACATAATAGTCTTTATATACATATAAAATTTGACAAAAATCGGCCCAGTAGATTCGGAGATTATCCGCCTAATATAAATCTACACAGACGACAGACAGACAGACAGGCAGACGATTAACAGACTGAAATATTTTTTTTATTGTTTACTTTTAATATTTGGTTAAAGATGACTATAAGACCACAAGATAATGTCATGCTTTTTCAATGTTTCGGAACGTTGAGCACGAAAATGCAAGTTTCCCGTTTCCGTCTAACTAATTATCTGCGCAGTGATTTTTATTACACCTTTTAATTTGAAAATATATTAGGGTTACTGTGCACATAATCAATCGCCAAACAAAATTTGTCTGAGCATTCTTTAAAAAAAAAAAATCGATTTCAATCCATAATAGGCGCTGAAGAAAAAAATTAAAGAACGTCCTTTTACAAGGTTTTTATTGAAAATAAGTTTTTCTGTCCAAAGAAAGCAGATGGGTGTGAATTAAAAAAAAATATATTCAGAAATATCAAGAAACAGGGCAAGGTTTCGTGTTAGTTCTAGAATTTTCCAATGGAAACATTAGCTTAAAGTTCGTCTTATCAACGAAGAGCTGATAAACCCGGTTGAATGTTTAATAGGATACAACTCCACAAAAACAACTGCTTGCTTGCTTACATTTCAAAAATTGTTTTCCACTCAGGGTTAAATTGAAACGTATTTAAGTCAAGCTTAATGCAATTCTCTAGTGCGATATTTTTCATACAAAACGTTTTAACTGTTCAAATTTAAATTACTAAAACTGGCTTTTGATTCCAAGCGTCCGCATTTGTGTCGAGTTCCGTGATTTGTATTAAAATTTTATGGTAATGTTTCTTTTTTGTTAGCCCCTCCCATATTACAGACACAGACTGTTCATTAAAAGCTAAATTTCGCAACACTTGTCATATCTTATCACTGAATCAATAATGGAAGAACTGAAACACTTCCCTTTTAATAAACAACTACATACTTCAAAAAAACCCACACCATAGTTATTAAATGGAAGCTCATGTCGACAATTCATTCAAATATGTACATTTGTTAATAAAATGCAACGTCTCTAGCAACAACTTACCTCAGTTAAGCTGAAAAACAGCCCAATCCAACCACACAACTTAAATGCATAGTTGATTGTGTGTTGCAATTTTTTCATACAAGGAGGACAAACACAGTTTTTATCATTCGTGATACAACATCTCATGGCGATGTTTTCACAACTAGGATGAGGTGTGGTTTTATCAACAACTGGATCAAAGCCACAGCAGGTGAAGACTTCTTGTACTTCATTCCGTGTAGCATTATCCACCCGGCTCCACCCTTGTTCCGCTAACTGTTCTTGCTGAGAAATATTAACACCCAAGCAAGCGCAAGCGACCGAGAATTGGATCAAGAACAACAAAAACAAGATAACCATGTACTAACACTTGTTAAGAAAATAACGACGGAAATGCCTAATTTGCGGTTTTTGACACCCACAACTACCTACATTTGACAGGAAGTGTGGTAATTTCCTCGTTTCGGTTAATTTTTTTAAAAAGGATACAAAGAAAAGCATCACCTGGTGGTGTTTCACAGCACCCAGGAGTCCTAGGACTGAGATCAGAATGAGTATTATGCCACATGCTAAAATACCCCCTACGATGGGTAAATTTGTGACCAAGGAAGCCGCACGACCGTAAACCGCAACCCCTATTAAAATAAAAGCTACTACCTGCAAAATAAATGAGGGAATGCCGAAAGGTCGAAATTTGTGCAATACTCACAATATATAACACATTTAATGCAATTAATGCATTTTTCGAACAGGTAAAGCCACCGCACATTTTGTAAACATATAACACACTGCGCGTTTCTTCAGAAACTTGGATAAATTAACTTTAATTTCAGGGCAACGAACACGAACAGCACGGTGATCGATGCTTTTGTCGAATTATCAATTATCAAAAACGTCAAGCAAATGTCAAGTGTAACTCCAGTCTCACTGCCAACGCAACGTGACTAAAATTTCTAATAATGATAAAGATTTTTAAATAAAATTTAATAAGGGTCGGTTTCGATGCAGTTGTACTGATTTATGTGACTGCATATTTTTGTGTATTTGCAGAAACGAGACAAATACATTTTTGTGTTCCTGCAGGAAACATTTTTTCTGATTAGAACCCCAAGTTTTTCTATTGGTACACCTGGTTTAGTGATATTTTATGTTATCGTTTAACTGTCATGTGTCAAAGTCCTTTGAGCAAGTGCACGTGTTGTTGATACTGTAAAAGTAGTTTAAAATATATTTTTATAGAAACGAAAATGGAGGTAACACAGACGATTGCACTGAATAAAGATGAGCAACAGGCAGTTACAAATGAAACCAGAAAAATTAAACGGAAAATTAAAGTAAGTGCGTGTTCATTTTAACCTCGAATTGTTGCAAGTTTAATAACAATTTAGTTAAACTTTATTAGTTTAGCGGTCTGGCTTTTTTCGAAATATTTTTGAAACCTTTCAAAACACCTGATAACGAAATTACATTGAATTGTTGTACAAATAACTTGTTTTGGAAATATTGGGCTTTACGTAATATTTCTTATGATAAGTCTTTTTAAAGTACTTTTTTCAGTGTCAGGCGGTCAGGCCCCTAGAAACATAATCCAGAATATGAAAATTTTTGCTCTGGGTCTTGTGGTTTTGGAAATTTTTGCAACTGAATTTTCGTGATTATTTGGTTGCCTACAACCCAGAAACGGAACACACGTTTGCAAAATATGACATAATTCTGGCAAAACGCTAACCAAAATTTGTCTGGTTATCCCCACCAACAGTGTGATGACGCCACCTCAAAATTTTGCATAGTAAATGTTATGTAAATTTCATAAAACAACATACTTCTAGAGTCATACACTTGTGGTTTATGAATCCATCTTGAGTTTTTACCTTAGCTATCAAACATTGTAAGTGTTGTAATGGGATCCATCCGGTGAATAGCTACTTTTATGTTTTCTCGACTCCTAGAGTATAAACAAATTGTTCTCCCGTTTCCATTTTGTAATCATTTTTGCCTACAATTTGATGACGTTACCTCCAAAACTGATTCGTTAAAAACATGACAATGAGAATTCGAAAAATTGTAGAAATATAAAACTGAAAAATCAAATAATTGTAAAATAGAAAAATTACAAAATTTAAAAATCAAAAAAGGAAATTATGAAATTGAGAAATCAAAACCCTGAAAAATTGGAATTCGAAATGAAAAATTAAAAATCAAAGATCTGGAAAATCGAAACAACGAAATTCGAATAATTGAAAAGTCAAAAACCGAATAATTGAAACATTCAAAAATTGTAAAAATGTAAACTTGAAAGATCAAAAAAGTGTAAAATAGAAAAAACGAAAAAATGTGTGAAATTACAAAATTGAAAAATTGGACAATTGTAAACTTCAAAATTTATTAAGCTGTAAAAATTAAAAATTGCCAAATTATTAGATTCAAAAATGGAGCAATTGAAAAATGAAAAGTCGAAAATTTGAAAAATCGAACCAAAAAATTGAACATCAAGGAATTGAAAAATCACAAATTGAAAAACTGATTCATTAAAAACGAGATAATTGAGAAATCGGAAAATTGAAACAATAAAACTGAAAAATCAAAATATTGCATAATTACGAAACCCAAGAATCGTTAATTTAGAAATCGAAAAATTGTGAAATTATTAAGATTGAAAAATCATGAACTTGAAAAATTGAAAATCGAAATTTTGAAAAATAAAAATTGAAAAAACGAAAAAAATTTAAAACGAAGTGTTATAAAAGATGGAGATTGAGAAATAGATTGATTAAAAATTGAATAATTAAGACATCTAAAAATTGAAAAATTGTAAAATTGAAAAATAAAAAAAATGTAAAATTGAAAAATCGGATAGCTTTAAAAACGAAAATTTGTACAATAATTAAACCTAAAAGTCAAAAAATTAAAACCAACATGTTGAACAATTAATCGAAAAATTAGAAAATTACAAAATTGGATAATTGTAAACTTCAAAATTTATTAAGCTTAAGCTGTAAAAATCAAAAGTACAAAATTATTAAACAAAAAATCGAATAATTGAAGAATGAAAAGTAGAAAATTTGGAAGATCGAAAAGTTCCAAAACCGAAAAATTTAAATCAAGGAATTGAAAACTCGGAAATTGAAAAACTGATTGATTAAAAACGAGACCATTGAGAAATCGAAAAATTGTAAAAATATAAAACTGAAAAACCAGATACATCATTGTAAAAACAAATAATTTAAAAATCAGATAATTGTAAAATAGTAAAATTACAAAATTTAAAAATCTAAAAATTGTGAAATTATGAAATTGAAAAATCAAAAATCTGAAAAATTGGAATTCGAAATTTTGAAAAATTAAAAATCAAAAAATTAGAAAATGGAATCGAAACAATTAAGATAATTGAAAATGAAAAAATTTTAAAATAAAGTATTCTAAAATTGGAAATTGAGAAAATGATTAATTAAAAACCGGATAATTGAGACATTTAAAAATTGAAAAAAATATAAAATTGAAAAATGAAAAAAGTATAAAACTGAAAGATCAAAAAACTGTAAAATTGAAAAACCGAAAAATCGTTCATTTTAATATTGAAAAGTTGTAAAATCAGATGATTATAAAATTAAATAAAATAAAAAATTGTAAAATAATTGAACCAAAAAGTCAAAAGCTTGAAAAATTAAAACCGATATGTTGAACAATTAACAATCGAAAAGTTGAAAAATTGGATAATTATAAACTATACAATTTATTAAGAATATTAAGCTGTAAAAATCAAAAATTACAAAATTATTATTAAACAAAAAAATCGAACAATTGAAGAATGAAGAGTAGAAAATTTGGAAGATCGAAGGATTCCAAAACCGAAAAATGTAAATCAAGGAATTGAAAAATCGGGAATTGAAAAACTGATTAATTAAAAACGAGACAATTGAGAAATTGAAAAGTTGTAAAAATATAAAACTGAAAAACCAGATAATTGTAAAAACAAATAATTAAAAAATCAGTTACTAATTGTAAAATAGAAAATTTACAAAATTTAAAAATCTAAAAATTGTGAAATTATGAAAAAACTGAAAAATCAAAAACCTGAAAAATTAGAATTCGAAATTTTGAAAAATTAAAAATCAAAAACTTGGAAAATCGAAACAATCAGACTCGAATAATTGAAAAACGAAAACATTTTAAAACAAACTATTATAAAATTGAAAATTGAGACATCTAAAAATTAAAAAATCAAGAAAATATAAAATTGAAAAATCAAAAAAGTGTAAAATTGAAAAACCGAAAAATCGTTCATTTTAAAATTGTGGTAAAACCAGATGATTGTAAAATAGAAAAATTAATAAAGTTAAAAATCTAAAAATTGTGAAATTATGAAATTGAAAAGTCAAAAACCTGAAAAATTGGAATTCGAAATTTTGAAAAATTAAAAATAAAGCATTTGGAAAATCGAAACAACAAAACAACAAAATTCGGATAATTGAAAATTCAAAAATTGAATAATTGAAAAAAGGAAACATTTTTAAAACTAAGGATTAGAAATTTGGAAATTGAGAAAATGATCAATTTAAAACCGAATAATTGAAAAATCAAAAAAGTGTAAAATCGAAAAATCCAAAAATCGGATACCTTTAAACACGAAAGATCGTAAAATAATTAAACCGAAAAGTCAAATATGTACTTAAAAAATTAAAACCGAAATTTCTAACGATTACAAATAAAAAAATTGAAACATTGTAAAACTATAAATTTGAAAAATTGGATAATTGTAAACTTCAAAATTAAGCTATAAAAATCAAAAATTGCAAAATCATTAAACTGAAAAATCGAACAACTAAAAAGTGAAAAGTAAAAAATTTCCAAAATCGAAAAATTGAAAAATCAAGGAATTGAAAAATCAAAAATTGAAAAACTGATTCATTAAAAACGAGATTGAGAAATGTAAAAAATGTAAAAATATAAAACTGAAAAATCAAAAAATTGCAAACTTACAGAACAAAAATCGTTAATTTTGAAAGTGAAAACTTGAAAAATCAGATGATTGTAAAAAAAATACAAAATTTAAAAATCTAAAAATTGTGAAATTATGGAATTGAAAAATCAAGAACCTGAGAAATTGAAATTCGAAATTCGAATAATTGAAAAAAACGAAAAATTTTTCAAACGAAGGATCATAAAATTGAAATTCAGAAATTGATTAATTAAAAATCGAATAATTGAGACGTCTAAAAATTGTAAAAATGTAAAATTGAAAGATCGAAAAGCGTAAAATAGAAAAACCAAAAAACTGGATACTTTTAAAAACGAAAAATTGTAAAATAATTAAACCTAAAAGTCAAAAGCTTGAAAAATTAAAACTGAAATTTTATACGATTAAAAATCAAAAAATTGAAACATTGTTAAAATTACAAAATTGAAAAATTGGATAATTGGAAACTTCAAAAATAAGCTATAAAAATCAAAAATTGCAAAATCATTAAACTGAAAAATCGAAAAATTAGAAATTGAAAAACTGATTCTTTAAAAACGAGACAATTGAGAAATCGAAGAATTGTAAAAATATAAAACTGAAAAATCAAAAATTTGCAAAATTACAAAACCGAAAAATCGTTAATTTTAAAATTGAAAAGTTGAAAAATCAGATAATTGTCAAATAGAAAAAATACAAAATTTAAAATGTGAAATTATGAAATTGAAAAATTGAAAACATTTAGAAAATCGAAACAACGAAATTCCAATAATTGAAAATTCAAAAATTGAATAATTGAAAAAAACGAAAAATTATAAAATTGGTTATCCAGAAACTGGTTAATTAAAAACCGAATAGTTGAGACATCTAGAATTTGTAGAAATGTAAAATTGAAAAATCAAAAAAGTGTAAAATCGAAAAACCGAATATTTGGAAACGTTTAAAAACGAAAAATTGTAAAATAAATCAAACCGAAAAGTCGAAAACTTGAAAAATTGGATAATTAATTGTAACCTTCAAAATTTATTAAGCTATAAAAATCAAAAATTGCAAAATTATTAAACTAAAAAATCGAGCAATTGAAAAATGAAAAGCCGAAAAGTCTAAAAATCGAAGGATTCCAAAACCGAAAAATTGAAAAATCCGGGAATTGAAAAGCTGATTCATTAAAAACAAGACAATTGCGAGATCGAAAAACTGTAAAAATATAAAACTGAAAATCAAAAAATTGCAAAATTACAAAATCGAAAAATCGTTAATTTTAAAATTGGAAAATTGAAAAATCAGATAATTGTAGAAAAGAAAAATTACAAAATTGAAAAATGGAAAAATTGCAAAATTATGAAATTTAAAAATCAAAAAATCGAAAAAATGAAATTTGTATAACGGAATAGCCAAAAATTAAAAAAAATGGATACTTTTAAAAACGAAGAATTGTAAAATAATTAAATTAAAAAATCAAAAATTGAATAATTGTAAAGTCAAAAAATTATTAAACTCTAAAAATGAAAAATTTCAAAATTATAAAAAAAATAATAATGGTAAAATTTTACTAGGTTCACAGATGAAGTAGGTAATGCTTCAAAGACAAGGAAAGTTAGGTGATACGTAATTTAGTGACAAAAATGTATTACTGAGTGTTCCTCGAACCAATTTCAACGTATATTTTTTTTACAAAACAAAAATCTTCGTATATAAAAGTCCCAAAATTTTACCTGAAAACTTTTACCTCCAGCAAGCTCTTTGGCCAAGTGTAACATCCGCTATATTATTTCTAAAATTTTATTTCGGTCCTGACAAATATTCATATCCTAATTTTCACATGAGTTTCTTCTTTTTTTTTTTCTCGTAGTGATCATATAATGGCATTATTAAAATTTGAAAGCCATTAAATCACCTACACTTCTGGATGATATGATGCATTGTCCATAAAAAAAATACTTCCTGGAATTTATTTTCCTTGATTTCTATACTTCATTACATCTGGAATAAATTGTAGAATCAGTGTAAGTCTCATCACAATTCATTGACTGTGTATATTTCAGTCTGGACGAATTGCCATCCGAGAGGGCAGAAGAGAACAGAAGCAAAAAATCGAACAATCCAGAGGTCTCATTTACGTCGGCCACCTCCCTCACGGATTTTACGAAGAAGAAATTAAAAAATACTTCTCCCAATTCGGAAAAATCACCAACCTTAAAGTTTGTCGTTCTAGAAGCACCGGCAACAGTAAAGGCTATGGATATGTGGAATTCGCGCATCCAGAGGTTGCCAAAATTGCTGCAGAAACAATGAACAATTACATCATGTTCAAGAAAAGAGTGATAGGTTTGTATAATTGATTAAACCTTATTTAGACGAGTTTCATTGTCATTTTTTAGCTACATATGTTCCATTTGAGAAGAGACCAAAATTGTTATTCCAAGGAAATCAGAGCATGCCAGGGAATTTCTCCAAGATAAGAAAACGCCAGAAGAATATCAAGAGTAAAAACAAAGCTATTGATGAGGAGATATACTTGGAAAAAAGCAAACTCAGGTTAACTAGGTTGCAAAATCGACTTCAAAAATTGAAAAGGTTTGGAATAAACTGTGACTTGAAACCGCTTGACGTACCTAAAGAGTTACAATAAAAATGTTGCGTTAAAACTGTGTTTTATTTATCTTATTGATTACTCAGTATAAAGAAATATTAATTAACTTAGTGTGTACAGTCTAAATATAATGGGAACACATTATTATTACAGATACAAAATATTACACAAATTTCCTTAACTTTAAATTAAACTGTTAAATTCTTGTTTTAGATTTTCCTTTGAGGGTATTTGGATCGCCACCCTTTGTACGTTTCCACTTCATTCTTCTATTCTGGAACCACACTTTCACCTAAAACAAAATTTTTCATTTCTGTGATTTATAAAAATTAAAACTTACTTGTCGTTCTGTGAGATCTAAAGCAACAGCGATTTCATAACGCCTTAGTCTTGTTAGATAATTGGAATGAGTGAACTCATTTTCCAGTTCCTTGATTTGGTTTTTTGTAAAAGCTGTTCGTTCTTTTCTTCCTGTTTTGCTGCCACAATCAATGCTTTTAATATCTGAAATAACCGCAATTGATTATTATCCATTCACGATCTTTATATAGTAAAGTAGGCTTTGATATTTTTCTTTAAGTTGGATAAACTGATTTGATGATTTAGTTTTTTGTCTGTCAGCAGTCTGATTCACAGATCATCGAGACATTATTTAAAAAGAAAATGCCTAAAATAGTTTTACTGCAAAAAAAAATTGCAATATAAAGATGTTTTTTTTTGACATATTAATTTTAATATTCCAGATAATTATTATATTATTCAAACACAATTTAAACACTGTAGAGCAAACAAGGCTTATCAAGCCCGTCTATTAGTTTATTCGCCTAATAAATGTATTATTAATACCGTTTTCAAATTACACGAAAATTGAAGAATCGAAAACTTAATAATTGAAAAATTGAAACATTTTAAATGAAAAAAATCGGTAAACCGAAAAATTGAAAAATCTATAAATCGAGAAATTGAACAATCTGAAAATTAAACAATTTAAAAATCGAAGAATTGGAAAACCAAAAAATCTAAACCGAGAACTTGAAAAAACGAATAATCGAGAAATCAAAACATCAAGGAAAACAAAAAAATTAATGGAAAATCTAGAACTTAAATATTGAAAAATTAAAATACCTATTGAAAAATTGAAAAACCGAGAAATCGAAACATCAAAAAATGGAAAAAAAGAAGAACCGAAACATTGCAAAAACTGAACTACTGAAAAACTGAAAAATGGAAGGAAAATTGAAAAATCGAAAAATTTAGAAACGTCAAAAATTGCAAACCGAAAAATAAAAAAAAAATTAAATCGTAAAACTGAAATATCGTAAAGTTAATAAATTGAAAAACTGAAAATTTTTGAAAAAAAAAATCGAGAAATTGAACAATCAAAAAATCAAAACATTGAAATCCCAGTAAGTTGATAAACACGATAATTTAAAAAACAAAAATTTTAAAAATCCAAGAATTGAACAACAAAAAAAATCTAAGCCTGAAAACTCAGAAAATTGAATGATCGAGAACAAAAAATCTAAAATTTAAAAATTCGACAAATTGAAAAATCATGGAACTGAAAAATCGAAAAGTCGAGATAGTGAGAAATCTAAAAACCTAAAACTTTAAAAACTGAAAAATTAAAATATCGAGAAAACACAATATCAAAAATTTGAAAAACTGAAGAAACGAAATATTGCAAAATTCAAAAACTGAAATATTGAAAAACCTAAAAATGAAAGGAAAATTAAAGAATCGAAACTGAAAAAATCCCAAACTGAAACATTGAAAAATTGAGAAATGGAAAAATGGGAAAATCAAAAAAATTGGTCTAAAGAGTTTAGACAGTACTTCCCTCGCTATCGGAAACGTGACGACTGCATGCCTATTATGTTTTTTTTTCACATTAGATTTCAAAGCATTCGGTTTTGTAGTTCCTGATTAAATCAATAAAATAAATTTGCGCATTCATTAAATTTTTTGAGTCACCTGTATATCCGAATCCAGAAAATATGAATGGAATGATAAATTACAAGAAGAGACTCATCATATTTTGTAAATTTTAAATAGGATTATACGGCAAACTTTTGAGCTGACGTCATCAATTTTTCGGAGGGGATAAGCAAATATATTTTGACTAAAAATTTATTAAGCTCGTTATAACCTTAAAACATTGGGTTCTGTAGTTCCTGATTAAATCAATAAAATAAATTTACGCATTCATTAATTTTTGGGGTCACCTGTATATGCAAATCCAAAAAACATGAATGAAATGATAAATCACAAGAAGAGACTCATCATACATATTTTATACAATTTAGATAGGATTTATTCAGCAAAATTTTGAGGTGACGTCATCAATTTTTTAGAGGGGATAAGTAAATATATTGTGATTAAAACGGTCCTAACAAAAAAATATTGTTCGTCTATAAAACAAGCTCGTCTTAGACAAAGTATTCGTAAAAAAATATGTCGTAAAAAAATGTACGTATGCTGGTCCCGACTGCGATTATGGTTTAAATATTTTTTAGAAAATCCTGTCATGGATGTAGAAACATTTGTGACAGCCAAAGAGGTTTTTTTTGAGAAAATTATCTCCGAATTTAGACCAAATTGAAATAGGCACTAGGCAACAGGCACATTTGGGCAAAAGAAAGAGAAATTATGGTTACGGCTTCAAATTTTGGACGTATTTACAAACTTAGACCGACTACAGCAATAGCTAAAACTGTGGAGTCTCTGTTGTACAGTACATTTAGAGGTAACAGTCATACATACTATAGACAGCAAAGTCAGGAAAAAGCTGTCAAGTGTTTTGAAATAAACAAAAATATAGAAACTGAACGCTGTGGCTTGTTTATTTCAAAACAATTTCCTTACTTGACTGCTAGTCCAGACAGGGTTCTAGAGGATAGGAGTGCATTAGTCAAAATTAAATGCCCTTCAAAATCGCAAGATTTGTCTCCCGAAGAAGCGGTTAGAAAAAAAATAATCAAATTTTGTACATTGACAGACAAAGAATTGAAACTAAAAAAAAAATTGATTAGTACTTTCAAGTCCAGGGACAAATGCTTGTTACGGGTATTTCACAAGTTTATTTTGTTGTATGGACACCCAAAGGAATAAATATAGAAAAAATTTATAAAGACGAAGAAATATATGTAAAAAGATGGCAGATAAACTTGGCAGATTTTGCTTTGGCGCATTATTGCCCGAAATAATTGATTCAAGAAGAAAGAGGAACCTGCCTTTTCGAGAGATTTTTTTAAAATAAATAAAATTTGTTTCTATTTTTTATGTACTTTAATAATTTATTAGGAGTACATTTTTCATCACCAAGACTTGCATATTTTTATTATAAATATATTTTGAAAATGATCTCTCGGCAAATGAAAACATATACGAGCACTTTTTTCGAGTAAACAATGAAGGGAGAAGTTACTGGGCGTAGGGCTTTTTTAAAACACCTCCTTTCTGGGATAAGTAGTAGATACACTTAGCTACTTATACGTGTTAAACAAAAGCTGTATTTTATATATTTTTTATTATTATTATAAATATGTTTATTAGTTTTATTAATTAAGAAAGCAAAATATATATTAACAATAATATTACAATGAATTTTTAGTAATCATGTGGATTGAATTCAGGATCCTGAGTGGAGTAAAAATATTATAGTTCCCTAGTTTTAATTCGGTTTTATGATAGTACCTCATTGCGTAAAAGTTAATTTCCTTAACAATAGATTACTACGGCCTGTCCTGGCGGCTTGTTATAAAACTGAATTCCTTGCCTTAAATTAGAAAAAGCAGCCGAGAATTCTAACAATCAGCTTATGGTAAAGCAGGCGATAAGGGTTTTACCTGGAAAGTCGCTTCCGTAAATTTTAGTGGCGCTCCTATCGGCAAAGTACTGAACTAACTGCTCAAATTCTGTCGAATTGATACCCATTTTTTCCAATAATTGTTAGTTTTTGTTAAAAACTCTGCTAACCAATAGATCATTAATTTTCCTCTGATATTCCTGTTAAAATTATTCGACGTATTTTGCATTAATTTGTGGTATATTTTGATTTTAATAAACACATTATTATTTAAACAAATTGTACCGTTAACAAACATTTAATGACTCTGCGCCCTGTGAAAAGTGATGTTTTATCCATGTGCGAATTTTCAAGCGATTCTATGATGGTTATGACTAAAAAAACTTGAAAAGAAAATATACAATGGTGCTTTTTTTACGATATTTGTCAGCCATATTTTTTTAATTGATTGAACTGGTCTCTGCGCTCTAGAATATGAAAAAAGCTGCAGTTTGATGTTCTGATACATCTATATTAATATCATTTTTTCATACAAAAAACCAAAACAATGTTATACCTCGTCTAGCGAGTCCCCTTAAGTAATGATTTAAATAAAACAAATCTGGATAAAAAAGACAACAAAATCAATATAAAATGTATTCTTAAAATAATTTACATACTGTATAATATATGTAACTTAAGTATAACATTGTTATCTATTCTCTTCAGCTTTCTGTTCACTGTCACTCTTGTCATCATCAGCTTCAAGATCATCATATTTATGCCCTGAGAGTCTCCTTACAATCCAGTTAACCAGAGATTCTTCCTCAATTTCCGTACTAATAATAGTTGGAAAAATATATTTCTCCCTAAATGCATTCACTTCATCTTCAGCTTCATCCCAGGTCATTTTTTCATGAACCCCATCATCCCCATACCTGTTGTTATAGCGTTCATAGTGCACATAATCCAAAACAAGCCCCAACCCCGGAGCTTTTGGAATATTCACTTTCTCCATATTAAAAGCAACATCCAAAGTTTCCTCAGACGTGTACCCTTTAACAATTGCCAAAACCAATCCAACCATTTTCCTGATTTGATGCATCATAAAACTCTGTCCTCGGATTTTTATTAAAGTGAACTCAACATCATCTTTAACGAACGGTGTATCACAGACTAAACTTTTCATGAAGCGCTTAGCACTGGGATCAGACGCTTGTTTTTTTGACGTGAAATTGTGGAAGTTTTTGGTCCCCACAAACTTTTGTAGAATTGCGTTGATTTTGTTTAGAATGTCTTCTTGCAGCCGGAAGCCCTTTTGTACCATCATTTGGTCTTTAGGAATAAATGAGACAGTGGGTAGTAGGTAGGTGTATGACCGACTGTCGCACTGTACCTTGCTGTTGAACCCTTTTGTTACTCTTTTAATGCCGAAAACGCGTATGACTTCGGGTAGTTTTTCATTCAATTTTGCTATGTCAATGTTTTCGGGTAACTTCAGCGACACTACTTGTCTAGCAGCCGAGACACCTTTATCAGTTCTTGCTGCCCGTTGAAACTGCATTGTCTGCACTTGACTGAAGTTCTCTTCACTGATGTATTTATTTTGGTACAGGGACTGGAAGAATTCTTCTTCGATTGTTGGCGTGTTTGGGTTGCGTTGCATTCCGTAGTAATTCGTTCCCGAATATCCGAGTAACAGCGCGAATTTTCTTCGTTTAATTTTTTCGAGTATCTCGCCTGTTATTTCTGTTTCTTCTTTTTTCACCAGTTTCGATTTTGTGGCATCTAAACCGGCGCCTTTATCACTTCTTCTTTCTTCCCATTGACGTTTTTTGACGCGGCCGTCGTAGCGAGGCTTCCTGACAATTTTGATTTCACTCATTTTTGATGGCAAGTGAGGTAAATCGGACGAGGAAAAATAAAAGGGGAGAATTTTTCGAATGGTTTGTAACATAACCTCAACGGTCAACGTTGACAGCGCGTGGAACAAAACATGACAGTCGCCTAGGGCGCCTGTTATTATTAGGAGTCAGGAGTGGATTTGTTCAAGGATGTCGGACTAGAGTCTCTATAGTAATGCAGCGAGTTGTAGGCTGGCGTCCTCTATCGTAAGACGACAAAAACGTGTCATTTGTTCTGCAATTTGTCCACGAAAACATAAATAATACTCTTAAATATTGCATTTGTTTATTCAAATCAAAATGGAATTTACGTAATTCATAATTTCGCAAAAAAAATCAGTAATAAATAAAGAAGAAACAACTGCTGCCAAGAATTTAAGTTCTCAAACTTAAAAAAAACGATATTTAAGAACAGCAATGGAAAAGGAATGTCCGGCTTTGGTATCTCTTTGATTTAATTTTCTATAATACAATAACTAAAAGCCTTAAGAAGGTGAAATTTTCGCTGTACTTTTTGTATATATTTTCCTTGCATTTTCATAAGGCGTATTGTAAAAATGGGAAAATTTTTAAGTGGCGATACGGTTTTGAAACCAAAAATAGCAATTTAAAGCAAAATCCCCGAACAAATCGTTAATTATGAAAGTAAATGTCACGTCAAATACTAAAAACATGAATGCCCCAAAAATTTTTCCCAAAGGAAATATAGTAAATTTTTAGTGAAAGTTCTAACAATATGCTCAGTTAATATTTTCTCGCTTTATATTTACATAAGTAGGTATATCTTAAGTTGCCTAAGGGCTTTTAAAAGCGTCTATTACACCTCTTCTTCTTTGTCGCTTATAATATAGAAAAATATTTTTTTAAGAAAGTTGTCTAATTAGAATTAGGCCTGTTTTATTTTGCTGAAAACTGTGGTATGCATTATTATTTTTATTATTTCTGACCGATATATTTCTGGACAATTTTTTTTCTAATATGTATTTTAAAAATAAATGTGAAAAATTATTGTCATTCTCATCTTAGAAGGTGGATATTCGCTGTCCCCATAATTAAACAGTGTCCACCAACACATCGCACAGAGACGAACTCGAATCTTGCCTCTGTAGTGTACGCAAAACTGATGTCGTTTAATATGTAGGCTGTCGGTAATGCAACTCGAATTTTTCAATAAATCAATTTTTCGGTTAGCAGCTTTTTGAGTTTTCAACTTTTGGATTTTCACTATTTTCGTTTCAGTGTTCCGAATTTTCGGTTTTTCAGTTTAATTTTTCGATTTTTTAGTTTTCCTTTGAGATTTGAAATTTCTAGATTCCACAGTTTTTATATATTTGAATTTTTCGGTTCTTCAATTTCTGGTGTTGCATTTTTTTTTAATTTCAAATTTAAAATTTTGCTTTTTCATTGTTTTCGACATTTCAGTTTTTCGATTGTAATTTTTCGTTTCCGCAATTTTTTGACTTGCCAGTTTAAATTTTTTAATATTTAGATTTTGCACCTTTGAATCTTTCGTTGCTTCACCTTTTAGATTGGTTTTTTCTGTTTTTATGGTATTTTTAGATTTCTCAATTTTTCGTTATTTTATTTTTTCGTTTTTTCAGTTGTTAGGTTTCCAACTTTTTGATTTTTGATTTTGAATGTTTCCATGTTCCAAAAAAAAAAACACATCGAAAATACAAGAGCAACATGAAAAAAAAATCCTGCATTACAATTTTTCAAAATTTCAGTCAGTTGTTCTTTTTGTTCCAAAATTTAAAAATGCAAAAACAAAAACTTGATTAATTGAAAGAAAGAAAACTAGAAAAACTGCAAACCAAAAAATTGAAGACATGAAAATTTGAATTATCGCTTAATTCAAATAAAGAAAATTAAAATATCTAAGAAACGAAAAATTGTAAAATCGAAAAACTGTAAAACTGAATCATTCTAAATCGAAAAAGTTAAAAATCTAAGTAACTATAAAATCGAAAATTGAAAAATTCAAGAGATGATAAATAAAAACTTTAAAAAACTTAAAACAAATTAGAAAAATTGCAAAATTTAACAAAAATCGGAAAATCGAGAAATTGCAAAATCAGAAAACTAAAGAATTTTTAGAAATTCAAAAATGGGTCCTATTGAAAAAGTTCTCAGTCAACACAATATAAATAAACGTGGTGAAAGCTATAAAAAATTAATTGGTTAAGAAAAATTTACATAAAAAAATTGAATAATCCAAAAACTGTGAAATCGTGAAAATTTCAGTTTTAATAAATTTGCTCTTTTTGAATTATCTAAATTAAAAATTGGAATCTGGGAAAATGAAACATTAAAAAATTGAGAACTTGAAAAATTTAAAAGCTAAATTAAAAATTGAAATCTCGATTAAATAAAATAAGGAAAAATTAATCGATTAATTAAGTAAGGAAAAATTAAAATATCTACAAACTGAAAAATTGAGGAAGTGCAAAATTGAAATATCGAAAAATTGCAAATCAAAAATCTGGGAGACCAAAAATTACAAAATCAAAAAACAAAAATTGCAAAAATTGTAAAGTTGAAAAATTAAAGATTGAAAACTAGAAAGAAATCGGAACACGGCAAAGTCGAAAAATTTAAGAAACAAAAATTCACAAATGGAAAATTTGAAAATCAAATTATTAAAACTCGGGAAACTGGAAAATCCAAACGCTGAATAAACGATCCAGAATTCGACAAATCGAGCTAACTGTAAAATCGAAGAATTGTAGATGAAAAAATTTAATACTGATAAACCAAAATTTTTAAAAAACTCAAAACTGACACCTCAAAAACTTGCAAATCGAAACATTGTACAATTAAAAAATTGCAAAATAAAAATCGAAAAACCGAGAAATCGTAAAATCAAAAATTAAAAAAAAATAATCAAATAAAAACTGATTACACATTACACGTTTTTTGAGCTGCTAAATGTTTTCAAAATTAAATTTTTTGCCAAAACATTTTCATGTGAACTCCTAGAAACGACAATGTATTATGTAATTTTTTCGATATTCAGATAGTTAAGCATGTTGTGCTTTTGACTTCATAAGAATTTTTAAGAACAAAATTTAAAAATATGTTTTAAATTTGGATTTGTCTTTTTCTCATTATAAACGAAAAGTATTTCAAATATTAAATAAAGAAAATATGTGTTTTATTCTTGCTATTTTTAATATTACAACTAACTTTAATATTAAATTTTATCTTACATAACGTAAGACTTGATATCATGTTGAGTATTATAGAGGTGTCCCAGAAATCGCGCATCAAATTTTATTAGTAGATTCCTTATGAAAATATGAAACGAATTTTAAATGCGGTAGCGTGTGTTTAAGATGTTAGTTTTCTAGCCTAACCTCAAAACACTTCTTTTTAATATAAAAAAACAAGTGTCATTTTTTTCAAAATAGAGTTGTCCTATAATACAAGCTGAGTCACTAAGAGGGAGGGCGGCCCTCAATATTTAATTAGAAATCAAAGTTGTATGGTTCTCTGAGGACTATACTCTAAAATTATTGTTAACTGCACAGAGTGTTACGGTTTTAAAGTGGAACACACAACTTTTTTTTAGCGAATTACCTTATATACAGTTGCCCCCAAAAAATTTCAGACGTCAATGTCATTCAGTCGTCAAATAGTGTAAAGCAACCTTTAGATGTTGCTAACCTTAATACTTGACAGTCATTTTTAACTTTTACATTACAGTTACATGAATGTAGCTGTAGCGTAAGCTGGAATTTTGAAAGTTTGACATACCAGCTGTCCGAAATAATGACAATAAAGCATAGACTACATTAAAATTTTTGACATGACAGAAAAGTGATATTTGAAATTTTTTGTCGGAAACTGTATTTATACACATTCAGACATTCTTATCAACTTCTTCCAAGAGTTTATCACCACAACTTATTTTAGAAATTCCGATACGACGTTGCCACGTTATTCCTATTTTGTGAAATTTTTGTGACAATGGAAGAGTTCACAAAAATCATAATAGTTTTTTTTTAATCTGTGTTACAGTGTGTGGAGCTATAAATACAGGTGCGCATTTTGTTGTGGTACGAACTAAATCTAATTTTAATATACAGGGTGTTTATAAGAATTGCTAAAACTTTATAGAATTTTCAAATACGTAATAAACAGCCTGTATTTTATTATTGTATTATTATTATTTTTTGTTCTCATTCATCCAATATGTCTATGTGCACCTCAAAAAAAAGTAAAAAATTCGCAGTAACTATCAACTTGAAACATGGAAAACACTTAACAATAAGGAAAGAGGATAAAAATAGAATAAGATGCAATAATAAAGGATGTTCTATTTGAAAAAAGTGAAATATCGATATTTGAAAATTGTAAAATTTAAAAAAAACATTTATAAACACTCTATGTAAGAAAATTCAATTTTGATCATATCACAACAAAGCGAGTATTTTTATTTATTTCTCCACAAAATATTGTAACACAGATTTTAACCCTAATGAGATTTTTTGTGAACTTCCATTGCTAACAAATTTCAAGAAAATTGCAACGTCGCATAGGAATTTCAAAAATAAACTGTGGTTGTAAAACCTAAGAAGATATCAAACTATATACATATATCTAAATAGGAGTATATATGGGGTATTTCATTTAAAAAAAGTAAGTTGTGTGTTACGCCTCAAAAACGGAACACAACTTTGACTTTTTTATATTTCTAATAATTAATAAGATGTCGAAGACCACGCGTCATGTACAGGGTGAGTCACTATATGTGCGTTCCTTGAGATTCCATTAATATTAGAGACAGAAAAAAGTCATAGACTAACAACGAGTTGGACGGCTCTTTGAGTAGCATACACTAAAATTATTTTCAGCTATACAGAGTGTTTTCTTTTCGAATCATAGACACAATTCGTTTTTTAAATAGAATAATCTAGCTATGTATATAATTTTACTTATTAGTCTCTTCCTAGGCTAACCACAACTTATTTTTGAAATTCCAATGCCATGTTATATCAATTTTTTTAAATTTTTGGGACACTGCAACGGTTAACAAAAAAATCTCCATAACGTTATTTTTAAGATCTGTGTTGCAATATTTTATGGAGAGATTAACAGAGGTATTTA